GCCACCCGCCGCACGCTTGTACGTCGACGTTGACTCAGTCGTTGGCAGGCCCATAATTAAATTACACATATTTTAGTTTGGTGCGTGTGTGCATGTGTTTGCAGGCCTGCTGACTTGCGTTTCCCATTGTGCGTCCTGTTTGGCGTTCCGTTCAGGCCTCCAGGACAGCCCCGCCCCCTCATCCGCCCATTTGGGCATGACTTAGACATCCGGAGAACCCGAAAACTTGGTCGTGAGTGTGAAATTAAATATTGTCCTGCGCAACGTTTGTAAATGTAAAGTATGTAATCACCACAATGTTGCTTGAGTAATTTAAGTAATTTTCTTTTTAAATTTTAGAATTTTAAGATTTATAAAATACCAACAGATTTGGTCTTTAAATTCTTTGAGAAAGCTAGCAATTGTTTAAGGTTAAAAATTAATTTGCAAAAACACGTTTAAAAGTAAAATGATTGAAAGAAACTTCTTTTAGCAGTTCCTAGTGGTTTAAATGATTTGTGTTGCTTTTTGAAATGTTTTTACCTTGTTTTTACAACTGAAAAAGTTTAACAATGAACTCTTAAAAGTATGATAGTATGTTAAAAAAAGTTCATGCAAATTTCACTTTTAGTACTGTCTATTTCAATGTCTAACCATTTAAAGAATAATTATTAAAAATAAATATATGGTATCAAAATTCAAAACCTTAAATGAATTTCTATCATTTAAATAATTGACAGATTTTTGTTAAGCAAATTTTTCTTATGACTTGCTTATTTATATCATTACTGACTTTCGGACAGTCTCAAGTGGACCTACAGTAATCTCTCCAAATGAGCGATGCAATGGTTTAAGGGCAGCTGCGGACTCCGAAATGAGATGAAATTGAATCGTTGACGGCTCACTCGACCGCAGCTGGAAATCGAAATCGAAATCGGAATGTGAATGTGAATATGAATGTAGATGGAAATGTGACCTTGAATGCCATATACTACCATATATACACATGGACGGGAGCGGCAGGACTCGGATTACGAATGCGCTGCGCGTGACTTCCAGTTAAGTCCTAATTATGTCAGTAACTCATACGAGATTGCAAAGGATTTCTGGGAGGACGAGGACGAGGATGAGGATGAGGACCAACTGGGGAGGGGTATTGCTGCGTGCCTGACACGTTCGCCGCACGGCGGTGACGCAATTTCCAAAAGATTTGCAACCGAAGCACACAAAGGTGGCCCGATGTCCTTCGGTGCAGGATGTGCTCTCTACGCTATACCCCATGTGCTATGTGCTAAGTGCTATGTGCTATATGCTATATGCTATATTCTATATGCTATATGCCATCAGGGGTTGATGCGCCACCCCTCCGAGGCAAAATGAAAATGTATGAAAACAACTGCGGCAGCCGGCTCTCGTCACTCACTCACTAGCTGCCCAAAACAGATTTTAAACTGAGAAAAAGCTTTTGCAGTTATTTTTAATTTGAAGTACTTTATATTTGTTTTACCACATAACTAAATAAAATTATAAAACATAAATATTTCATAAATTATTATAAGTTTACACTTTAATATAATAATTTTAAAACATAAATCATTTGATATAGAAATATACCCAAAATATGGTTAAAGCATTGGACTCCAAGAAAACTTTGTTGTTATGAACTTTATAATTATTAAACTAATTTTAATATATTAAAAACATTTTATGTATTAAATCAATAACTGTTTTTATTATTTTGGTTTACTTTTTCAGATCATAACATATACATTTTATTTCGTTTGGTGGAGATCTTTAATCAAACTAATAAATGCTATCTATCATACAAATATGGGACTAATTTTGGTATTTAAAAAAATATAAGGTGTTAGATTGCTAAACCCAAAAAAAAAAAAAACTATAATTAATTGATTTAAACTGTTGCACAAATAGTATCTATTTTTCTATAAAAATTTCCGAATTCTCTATGTGTAGCTATTATAATGATGCGATTCCATCGGCGTCGGTGGGCGAACAACCCCCGCTTGAGCTGGGCCTTCACTCATTCATTCATCCATCCATTGTGGCATTCAGTCAGTGAGTCAGTGGGAACCCGGCCAGCCCACTCACCCAGTTATGACTGTCCTGTGCCTTTCGTCCTTCGTCCTTTCGTCCTTTGGTCCTGCTTGGCAACAAGCGAAAAATTCCACTCGGTGCCATAGGTATAGGTAAAGCGTAGTAAAGTAAAACAAAATAATATTGGTGGTGCGTCCGATGCTCTGATCCGGAGATGCATCCCCCAAAATCGACAGTGTTTCAACCCCCGACACGATGATTCACAGCGGTTGCAAATGCCGTGGAAAATTCCACGCGTCCTTAAATAAATACATATGTATAAAGTAAGTAACCTTCAATAGCGCACATAGGTATGAAAGGCTGTTCGTCAATATTAATTTTTTTATATGAATCCATTTACATTTGCTTTTGATTGCACTGGGCTCTGCAATAATTATAGTTCTAGAAAAATTATAGAATATACAAATTAATTTGTAAATATTAACGTAAGCTATTAAAACAATTTTATTAATTAATTTCCAAGGTTTTAACGTTCCAAACTTTTAGCATGATGAAATCCAAACAAAATCAAAACAGTACAGAAATATTAAGTTAACCTTGTATTTAAATGTTAAAATTAATAATATTAGAAATTTTATAAGAAATACGCTTAGTAAATAAATATTTTCCTATTTTAAAAACTAACATGTTTAACTTAAAGCCTTAGCTCGGTGAAAGGCTTTTCAATTCGGAAGTTATAGACTAACCTGCAAGTGTCCTTCGCCTTTTAGACTGATTAGGAAACCAAGACGGTGGCACCATCTCCACTCGAGTGCTCACTGTTACCATAATCATCTTAATAATTTCACAACTCATGTCTTTATTACATTTTTTACTCTTCCCCACTTCTCAGCACCGCCACCGCAATATAATTTCCCAGCTCCCGGAGGAATTTTTTAATTTCAACAGAGCAAAGAATCTTATGGCAAGAAAGCTGGGGCTCTGACACACAAATACAAAAAAAAAAAAATGAAGAAGAGAAATTGTATCCTCATGCGTGTGCCCCGAGACGCATTTTCATTCCCAAAGTACACGCATTTTATCAAAGACTTTCCATCTCGCGGCTTCCTGCCACGTAGTAATTTAACCCCTCAGTGCTTTTCGTGAAAAATTTGGCTGTAATAAAGTGAGAACCCTTCGCCTCGCAGCAGGTGACCCATCGGCCATCAATGGTGAATAGGCATCTTGGCTAATTTGCAGGAGTTGAAGGTCCTCCTTTGGATCGAAGCACGGGGCGATACAATGTAATATCCTCTAATCCTTGCAAGGCAACAAATCAAATCCTGGGTAATCCGTCGGGGGTATACCTTGATTGAAGTCTTTTCTTAAGGACCTTTGTAGCTACTAAGGATCTTAACCGTATTGCTTTCGGTCCATTCGCTTCTCACTGAAGCAACGAAAATTTTGATTATGAACGCGAATGGAACCCAACCCATTTTTCTTTTAAACTTGTAAAAAGGAAATATCTTCAGTTTAAAAGTTGAACCTTTAACAAAACTTAGCTAAAAGTGTATATTTATGAAATAAAGAACAAAACTATTTTTTAAATAAAAAGAACCATTGATGTGTACCTTATTAAATGTTTATCCTTAGTTAAAATATATTATATTTAAACCTTACCCATATATAATCATGCTAAACTGATTTCCTCTAATTTCTTATCTTATAATATTTTATTTCTTTTTTAAGTACCCGAACGTAACCATTTCAAACACATTTGACTTGTCATGCCTATTTGTGTTTTATGTCTTTCAGACCTTTTGTTGATTTATTATTCCATCAATTCTAAAATACTTGTCGCTGCGCTTGGTAATTTTAAGTTATTCCAGTCTTTTACTTCCCCAGTATAAAATTATTTCCAACATATTTTTTCCGTCACATTTATATGTGTGTCCTAAGTATTATGGACAAAAACGGAACGATTTTCCCCTAAAACAGTTTTCTGTTCCTGCTGCGCCGGAGATTTAAATATAGAACGGCCTTCCAACAAAACTAAGAACAGGTTCCGTGGTGCACCCACACACATGTTTACAGACCGAACTAATTTTAGGTCCCATCCCAAACGATCCCATCCCATACGATCCCATTCGACGGAAACATTTGAAGGTCTCCATCCAGTGCAGCTGCATGAAATCTTTAATTGGATGGCGTTGAGACCGATTGCCTCAATTTAGAGTCCACTTTCACAGGGGAATCTGAAAAGGGTTGAACGGATCCAGCCACGATTCCCACGCACCTCCTTGTCCGAACTCAGTGGATGAAGAATAAAAGCAATTATAGTGGGAAACACAGAGAAATTTAGACAACAACTGTCCTCTTTTGTTCACATTTGTACAAATTGTATTGCATTATTTTTTTGGTTGAAAACTATATTGCCAGAATATATTTTCTTTGAGTTGGAAAAAATGGAGACACATTCCTTTATTTTATTTGTTATAGAATAGACTTAACATATACATATACAAATTGGGCTCTTCCATATATATTTTGTTTTAACGTTTTTTAGGTCAGTCTGAACAGAATTGCTTGTAGCCATAACAAAGGTTTTATAACATATAGTCAGAACTAAACTGTAAGCTATTATAGAAAATATTGAAACTGTGTGACAAATGTGCATGTTAAAATAAATTGAGTTTTTTAGTTGTATTAAAATAAACCTTAAGACTTCACGATTACTTCGCAGCTTTAATGAACTGTAATGAAATACATAATATATTGCAAATATTATTTATCTTTATAAAAATAAAATACAAAAAATTTAAAACAATATTGGTATTAAAATATATATAAGTCGATCCGGGTTAAAAGCATTTATTTTGATAAATTGAACAGAAAAGGGTATTCCCATGGTAGGGTATCCCCTAAACGTATCAAGCTGTTCTCTTCTTGTTGAGAAATCTCATCTCATCTGTTTGTTGAGATAGATCGTCGATCGTTGATAACCTGGCGGGCAAACAACAGCAGCCGACAGTTTTCGTTGATCTACCAGCGCGTGAGTGTTTAAATCGATGCATGCGATTCAAGAGTCCGCTGGTGGTCCGTCGTACACATCGTACATACCCTGCGTGACCTTTGCCCCCGGCCAGAATGCTTCCACAATGGAAGAGCAACGAATTGGACCCCTAGTGGCCCAGCGGACGGCCCAAAGGCGAATCTTCTACGGCATCGAGGTGACGGCCAGCGAACCAGGAGGCAAACCCACCTGCCTGGACTTCAACCAATTCCTACCGCTGCTGCCCACTTTCGTGAGCGTTGTGTGGCTGGGCCAGCGGTACTGGGATGTGGAGCCCGTCGGCCAGGTGGAGAGCCTTCAGCTGGCCAAGCACCTGGCCACCCACATTCCCGTGCTGCCCCACCTGTCCGCCTATCGACTGCAAAGGAAGCGACTCGACCAGTTCCTGGCCCTCAACTTCAGCAGCCTGCTGGCCGTTCGCGGGGATCAGGTGCACGAGGGCCAGGAGTTCCGAATTGCTCAACCCATGGTCGAGCAATCGCGGCGCCAGCGGGGTGGTAAGCTTACTTTTAATTCAATTAATTAATAATAATATATTTGATTGTCGCTTATTCCGCCAACGAACGCCTAACGAGCGGCGCTTCATTTCGTATATATACAAATGACCCAGTTAATCGTAAACAAAAGGTTAAGTTCAGCACAAGCTTGTGTTTATAACAAACGTGACTAATTAAATCAACAACTAGTTTAGCAACGCTCGTTATTGCAAAGGCACGTTACTCCTGCCTTTATTAGTTTAAAAATTTAAACTAGGGTAAAATAAAACTCTATTTAACTAATTTAAAATTTTATTTCAAACAAGATGCAAATTAATGTGTGTTTTCTAAATCTTTGAATTGATTTAAAAATTTGTTTGACCATATTTGAGTGATTGTAATCTTTAATTATTAAATTGTAATATCCTTTTTATTTAACCCAGAAAGAATTTCAATCTGCGTTCCTGGATACCCCGAAGGTTACACTAGCTTGGGCGACGTGCCTCCGGATTCAGCTAGGAATATTAAATTCCTAAAAGCAAAAGTGAGTTACTTTTTGTCAAACATAACATAATTTAAAAAGCAATAAAAACAAGCAAATTTTAATATGTAGAGTAAAAGTTGTATACATTTCCAATTGAACAAATTTTAAACCGAATTATTATTTTATGTGTAATTATTATTATTATGCTTAGCTTCAGCGAATTTTGTTTTTATTTTAGGTAGCGGCTGGAGCGGATTGCATTATTACCCAGATATGTTACCGTCCCGAGGCCATTGTGCAGTTTGTGAGGGATTGCAGGGCCGCTGGGATCACTGTTCCAATTGTGGTGGGTCTGATGACCCACGAAACCTTCCGCACATACTCCACAATAGAGCGCATTGTGGGTGTCCATCTGCCGAACGAGTTGCGAGAGGAGCTCAATCAGCTGCGGAGTCATCACAACTCAACTACGAAATCTGAGCCGAATCGGATTAGCCGGTATTTTGTGAGCCTGACTGTCCGAATTATTCGCCATATCCTGGATGCAAATGTGGGTATTTGGGGCTTCCACTTCTTCACACTTAATCATTTCAAACCTGTCAAAGCGGTGCTTCAAGAACTTCGGGAACTGGATCTACTTTAGGTTTCTGATCTGGAGGGAAAACTAACTGAAGCATAGAATAATTACAAATTTTAGTTTCATCATCAATGCACTGAAAAATGTAGAACTTTTTTTATTGTATTATAATTCCTTTATCCTTTTGATGCATATTAAAGTCCTAATTCCCAAATTTGATTTGCGCTGTCGCTTTATACATTTCGCTAAATTGGGTTTGATTCGCATGTCGTTCAGAATTCTATACTTTTGAATAAACAGAAATAGAGGGTGACTTGGTGTGGTATTTATGAGAATCCCTGCAGTTTCCAGCTCCAAAAAGTGCGTGCAACCCCTTTTGCTTGACCATTGATGGGCTGCAGTCGAACAAAAACCTATGATGTGACTGACATGCCTAATGGCCGGGCTTCAAAGTCTGCAGCTGGCCAAAAAGCGGAGTGTGATGAATGGATTTTGGAACCCTTTGCCCGTCCTTTGCATATGCGAATTTAGCAGCTCCGGTGCGTCATCAACGTCAGTCACTGTCACAGGCACTTCAAATCAGAGACCAAGAAATGCGTAGATATGTGATGATGGTTCTCGTCCGGAATAATAGAACTGTTGCGTCATCGCACCTTCCTTCGAGACTTGCCATCAGAGGGTTAACGCCCCTCATGCCCCTGCCCCTGCCCATGCCCATACAATGAGGCATTGAAAGGACCTTTGACAAAAACAGCATTTGACATTTGTAACTTGCGGTTGATCGGCCATGGAGATGGCATAAGTGCCGGTTTCTACACGTCAAGAAAAATTGTATATAATATCGATCATGATCGAAAAATATTCCAATTAGAATTACTTTTCACATGGTCAATATAACACAGGGTATGTATTTTATTCAATAAAAGCAGTAAATCACATCGAATACTTAGAAAAAGAATTTAGATACACTTATTACTTATTGATTATAAAAAATAATTTTGTTTATGCTGTAAGAGTATTAAGTCTAAGAAGGATTCCAGGATTAAATAGTACAGAAACATATTTTTTCAATCAATCATTTTGATTATATGGCGGCACTGATTTATTAACATCTTTTTAATAAGATGTATGGTTTTTAACAGTCATATTTTTCTGTGTGCATTTCCAAGGGGTTGACTTTCACCACGGGCCCCCAGATGACACAGATGACACAGATGGAATCGGGGCTAAAAGGTTTTGCTGCCACCGCTTCAAATCCGACGCCTGCTTCTTATTTTCGCTTATTTTCACAGCTGTCGCCAGGGCCTGAAAAATGATTTGCGAATGCGAAATTCCTTCCTTTTCTTCCGGCACTCGGTTGAGTTTGTTTTCACGCAGAGGTTGGGGTGGCTTGCAACTCCGCTCTGCAATTATTTATCGGCAATTAAGCTAAACAAATGACGCCGTTAGAATGGACATTGCGCACATTGCGCATACGCCATGTCTGTCTGTCAACATAACTCTTGGGATTTTCGGTTTGTTTTGTCGGCTTTGTGTGGAATTCAAACTTTAAATTTTGTGAGTGCCTTAAAAAGCTAACCAAAGAAAGTTTGAAAAGGTCTTACTATTTCAAACTGCGTTTAAAAATTACATTTTGAATAATATTTTATTTTTTTATACGTGGATATTGCTGCTTATACTTTAGAATCAAAAGAACGTATAATTTAAATAATTTTAAAAGAGGGAAAGAAAAAATTTACAAAACAAAATTTAAAAATTTGATCGTCACGCTTCTTTGCCGCAGTCGCAGTCGGCAGAAGCAGAGGCAGAAGCTGCGATCAGCTGGCAGATCACAGCTGAATTGCTCTTTTTTTCCCTCTCTCATCGCTCTTCTCTTTAATGAATTATTTTCTCTTCTTACATCTCAAGAGCGGTGAAAAACTTTTAAGAGTAGATTGAGTAGCACACGACTAAAGAGAGCCCCAAAGTGAGTGACTGAAAGAGCAGCTAAAAGTGATCATGTATATCACTCAAGAGAACATAGCACATTGAATTTTTAAAGTTTATTAAACATATTAAAGAACTTTTCATATGTTCGGTCGGGTGTTTTTTAAAAAGACAAAAAATGTTTTAAAGGAATTTTGTCTTTCAAAGTTGAGGAGAGAAAAGAAGTTTTATATGACTTAGTTTAGTTTTTGTACAGATTTGTTGAGCTCTGTGAAATTAAGAGCAATTGCGATCTCTTGAGTGATCGCGGAATCAAGAGTAAAGTTGCTTAAGAGAGTTTGAGTACGGGGAGAATAAGGGAGACAGCACGACTTAATCTCTTTTTCACATTGTGAGCACTCAAGAGAGATTAAGAGATTAGGAAACTTTGAAAAATTGGTAAACTATAAGTTATTTTGAATGTAAATAAAATTTGTATTTATTTAAATGTCGTTGTTCTTTTTGCTTGCAATTTATGATTTACCATTTATTTATTTTCAAAAGAACTGCCTTAGGAGAACAACTATCAAAACAATTTTGATTCCTTATTTTATTTAATCCTTAAAAGAAATTATATTATTTATTAATTATAATTATTTTAAATAAACCCAAAAACCCTCTAAAATTACAAAAAACTATGAGAACCTTAACTTTAACTTAGTGAGTAACATTTTGCTATCTGTCCTTCTCGCTTATTAACCACATTTATCTGGGATCATCGATAGAGTGAAAATAAAATATTTATATACTAAACGCTAGTTTTTCACTGCAACAACAGCAGTGGCAACATTGCTAATTTGCGACCTGCCCCACCGCAATTTGCATACACCGCGTGCGTGCTCGTGTGCGCACTAAATTCGCATTCGTAGATACAGATACAGATACACTTAAAGATACATGAACTGAACGCGTGCAAAGGCGAAATTGGACAAAGCTCATTCGAAATTTCCGACAAATTGTAACAATTTTTGTGATTTAATTGCAGCAAGACCGAAATAGGAAAAGTGACACCATACACGAACGCAAAGTAGTGAGAGTGAGTCTCTGAAATAATGGATTTATCTTTCAAGTTAACATCTGTTGCCATGCGGATAGTTTATTTCTTACTTAATACAGTGACCTTGATTGGAAGGTTTTTAAGCTTATATAAATATAATATAAAGATTATTTATTATTTCATTACAAATCTGTTGTTAAACTAAACTTGTTCAATTGAACACCAAAAAACAACGAATACATAAACACATTACAAATCTTAACCAGATAGATACATAAGTATTTATATTTACGAACATGTGTACCGACACTTGCCCGGCACAAAAGTATGGAGATTCTGTTGGTAATATTTACCTTCTGGGGAACGAATACACGCACACATGTTCCGTTTGGTGGTATAATTTATGGCCTGACTCGAGAGCGATCAAAAATAAAATGATTATTTTCAGAAGGAAGCAACAGAAATAATAAAATCGAAGCGCTACGCAAATTATAAACAAACGTCAACGAAGAGTCCGCTACGAAAACATCAACAAGCTACGTAAGCAGCCCCAACTAGATTCTATTTATTATACCAATTATAACACACCCTGGAACAGAAAAAAAGGTCATTCTTACATCAACCAACCAAAACATATTTCCTTACTTTCTTCACATTTTTTTTATAAATAAGCTGAGAATTTATATTTACTTAGACACTTTAGAAAAAAAAAAGCCAAAGCCATCTTGAAAAAATGTAGCCAAAAAGAAAGGAAATTTTCGAATTTAAAATGGCTTTTTATAATGAACATTTAGTTTTTGTAAAATCTTTTCTGGAGGTCTCATCTAGCCCGATATACCCCGATGTACATTTATTAAAAGACCCAGAGCCCGAATGCAGTGTTGTCTTTTGATCTTTTTTTTCAGTACGGTTCTGTTGCATTTCTCAGATACTCAGATACTCGTGTGTGCACACCAGCACCAGGGTAGAGGTAGAAGTAGAGTGTGTGTGGCCTGTCAGAGGCAGAACTTGTAGAAAAGATGCGGCAAGTGAAGGACGGAAAAATTGGCAAACATATGTAGACCGCAGGCGGCAGGCCAAATCGGAAGCTGCATTGAAATCGAAATGAGTAAGGAGGAAATCTCGACCGAACTGAAAAATCGTAAATTGAATTTGGCATTCGGATCGTCCATTAGCTTCTCACACAATCTTTGACGCAATTCGCACCCGTATGGCCATATAGCTTTCGCTTTGAGTTAAGTCTTCAGACTGATTTGCAGCAAGTACAGCTGTTTGAACAAAAGAATAATTTATTCATTTTGCAGAAACCCAACATTGTTCCTAACAGGTAATAGTTACACTTTTATATTTTCCCAATCATTAACGACATTTATTTGTCTTGTATAAGCTTGTCTTGTATAAGCTTATCCAATCAACATGGTCTTATAAATCTCAAAAAACAACTTAACAATTGTTTGCTAATAGATGATTATATCAATTATAATAATAAATGCTTAATATACTATCATCGTTGTTAGTTTTGCTTGGCATAGTATTTATTTTTTCGTTTTCGTCTTATAAGTCATGAACCTTTTTTGTTCTGTTACAAAATGTACATGTGTCATATTTAAAACATTTTAAATAATGTATTGTATACAGTATAAAGCGTATTGAACAATGTATATTACATATGATATTTTGTATTTTAAAAAGGGAAACTGCAAGCGAAAAACTACCGCTCGATGTTCAATGTCGCAATGGGAATCGCCCATTATAACAATTTAATTTTATTTCATTTTGCCGCCTTTGCGCTTTTACGTAAGTCTCACGATTTACACAAACATTAAGAGGTGAATTATAGAGATGTTACAAAAATCGTATATTGCCTAGTGAAATATTAAGTTGTTATTTATAAACGACCCAATTGTTTTAAATAATATCATAAATAGGCAACCAAAATTTAAAACACTTATCTATTAAAATTCAAGCAAACAATACTTCCATTTTGTAAATATTTTATATTTAACAGGCTTGAAAAGCTTTTTCTGCCTAAAACATTGAAATGGGTTTAAATTTGAACTTACTCACATCTCTAGGAGCATCAGAAAGGGGATAAGTTGGGTGGTGAAGGGGCAAACGACATTTTCGCCGCCTGTTTGCCTGCAATTACACGGCCAACAGCTAACTGCAAATAGCGCTAGAGAAAAATACAAAAAAGGCAGCAACAAAAGCTAAAATAAAATCGCGCCAGACAAGCTGACGGCAGCGTGTGATTTTGTACCCGCTGCGGTTGAACTACCAAGCATAGGCGTCGCAATTGGGGCTAACAAAAAATAGTATTATTATTAATAAAAAATTAAAGCAAAAAAATGTAGTACAGCTAAATTTTTTCTAAATAATTAATTTAACTTTGCTTGTAATGAAAACACAAATGTTGAGATCGATGCAATGTACGTGCGCCCATGATGGCATGAAATGGATAAGTGTAACAAAGAAAACATACAACATGATTTTAAAACTAACAAATGCCCTTTAAAAAACTTTACTGTATTGATGGAATTTGCTGACTTGCTAACATTATTTAGGGATATATGTACATATAGTTTAATTATTTTAGCAAATACAGTTTGGGCTTTAGAATCAAACTTTTAACAATGTAACAAAAATATAAAATTATTAAACTCTATATATAAAATTTTGTGTAATAAATATATATGCATATAGTAATATTACATTTTAGGGTATTTTGTCATCGGTCTGGTTAAAAAGAAAACCCTGGACAGAGCGATCAGATCGAGATCCATGCAGTTTCAGTCCAGATCGTGGCACTTTTCACAACATCGCATGATTGATGATTAGTCACCAACCGGTTTCTCGATTGTCCGTCGCCCAGCAACAGCACGCGAGTTGAAGGTTCGACTTGGACGGATAATTATCGAAGCCACAATATCGACCAGGCCAGAAAGTACTGTTAGTCACCATTGCCGTCGGCGATTTTATATTGAAGACCGACTGGCTACTGTCTACAGTCCAATGGTTGCTAATATTGAAATTAAAACTTGAATTTAAAATTAGGACTGAATTAATACATCTCTGTGGCCTAAGGTAAACATTTCTCAGATATTTGTCATTAATAACATTTATTTTAATAGCTTAAATATAAGGCTAAAAGAGCATTCCTTGTCCCATTGGATTTGTTATTGATTTCGTTGACAAAAAAGGGAACTTAATGCCAGCTTGGTTTTTGGGATCGGGAACATTTCAAAGAAAAAAAGAAATGAAATTGATTCATTTGAAATATAAATGCATGCATGATTATCACATATTTGAGGCGCCCACGTCACTGTAATTATGGGTGATGTCTGGATAGTTTTTACCGATCCTTCCGGACATGCGCCTCTACGAGGAGCGCTGATTTTGTGTTTCTTTGACGTAGCCGCCAATATCTTAACCGCACGTGTCGACGATCGATTTTCAATTATACGTCATGGCCTATCGATGACGATATTGGGGCGACGTGTCTTATTACAGTACGACCTACGTGACCTCTGAACCTACGTGTGGCTTATCCACGATCAAGTTAACAATTTTTAAGTTCTACCCCATTCAATTAACTTTAACGCAAGTTTTGGATTCAATAGCAGCACCCATAACGCATTACCAATTCGTATATTTTATATTCTTAACTTATGTAGCAAACTTGAATAAGTGTAGCGTTTTTGTAAATTTAACGGCACGATATAAGTAATTAAACAATTGCCGGCCAATTGATACATTCATTCACTAATTAGGCTAAATTGCAGTAACACAACGCACGCGAATGGAATAGGACACGGAGAAATGTTATTAAAATAAAAATTAAATTCAATTAAACAAAAAACCTGTAGAATATGGCAATTACATGACGAAAAAGTTAATGCTTGCTACATTTCATGTATTTAATTTAATATTTAGAAAAGAATTTATAATTATTTAAAACCATGATGTGTAGAGTGAAAGGAAATATTCGTTAAAAAGTATGTTACAGTTAAAAAAAATCGTAGAAAAGACAGAATTTCCTGGAACAAAGACCAATAAAAAAGGCTTAAAGTATAAATTTGGTTGTTCTTAATACAAATCTGATCAAAATTACATTAAACACAATACGATTCAATTTGTGTTTAAAGAACATTTTAAGGAAATTCCTAATTTCTGTTTAATGACGGTTAAACAAATAATGTCTACATTATTTTCACACACTTTCCACTTTCTTGGCACCACCTTAAAACACATTTTGTCTCCTTTGTTGTTAGCAGGGGCTGCCGTTGACCTTCGGTGATATGCCCCAATGATCTTCAAACGTGCTGTTCCACAGAATTTATCAAACAATTCAACAGCTGTTCGCGTGTGCTAATCGAAATTTAACAGCTTGTCAACAATCCGGCTTCTGTTCAGCTCCAGATGATTTTAAGGTTTATAACCTTTTCCAAAAAGCGTTGGTTAAATAAACTGGGTTCTCTGTATTCCAAAGCAGTGCAAACTAATTTAAATTAACTACGAAGCAAAGCCTTATTGCAAAGTCCACCCAAATTTTCTGTAAATACCTTCCAATACCACCTATTTTTCTCACGCTCATTTAATTTTAAATTACGTCTACTCAAAATATTTGTGTTGATAAAGCCTTATTAAGTTGAAGCTGCATTATTTTTTTAAAAATTTCACAATTATGTATGCTGTTATATAAACATAAATAATTTTTTGTTAAGCGGCGAGATTAAGGCTAGCATAAAGATGTTTAAATGGACTTATGATATTAATAATAATAAAGCAACTCTATTTGCTACCATATTCTATCCAATTGTAGGTGATGATTATGAGGCCGGAAAATGCCTTCAATTGCCGGTGGTTTGCACCCAAAGAACTCGGTTGACGTGCTCGCCAATTAGATAGTAAACGAAGGCGACGACGATGATCAGAGCGAAGTAGAGGACGCGGATATACCAGTCGATGTCCCCCAGGAAGGGATAAACCCAGATGCCGGTCCTGAACCAGAAGTAGTTAGACCATACCAGGTATCCGGCCATGAAGGCAGCCAATCCAACGAATCCCCGACTGCGATCCGGATATCTATGGCGAGTGCTGACAAACTCGACGAGGGCGTAGACCACGATGTAGGAGTGCAGTACGTGGTTCAGCCATTCCGGGTAGATTGAGTCCAGCAGATCCGGATATATCGCATTTCGATCGATTGCATAAAGCGACCAAAAGGTCAGACTCGCAGTGAGGGCCAGTGGGACGACAAAGGTGGCCAATATGTAGTCACGCAGGTTCCGCAGGGATGGCAGCCGCCAGAGGTCGTAGGTCAGCGCAAGGGCATAGTAACCACACTGCACCAGGCCACCCAGAAAGCTTATGTACTTAAACATGCCCCACAGCGGTGGCTCCAGGCGCAGGGTCACCGCCAACTCTGGCAACTGCGCGTATCGGTAGTCATGGTGAACGGCGTTGGCCAGGTTAACGGCGGCGAACAGGTGGAACAGCAGACGAGCGCCGTTCGCCCAGCTGCATCGGTCCATTTCCGAACGGATACTAATGTCTCCGCCGATCTGTCATGCGGCTGTGGTAATCAGCTTTGAAATCAATCAGTGGCGGTTCGCAGTTTGAAATGGCTTATATTCAGTTATAAAAAAAAACATATCATATTAAAAATAATCATCTTGTTTTAAAAGTTATCCGATTTTAATAAATCAATTTAAGCCCGAAAAATGACAGCTCCTTAGTCGGTATATTTTATATTCAATATAAACATTAATTTAGCTATTTGTCAATTATGTATGCAGTAAAAAAAAACAAAGAAATGAATTGTTTTGAGTGCGACACGATTTTAAAAACCTCAAAAGAACTGGATGACAGGAGATGGGCTATTACCCATCTGCCTCTGCAGCAAACAATAGAAAACAGTCCCTTTTTCTTGAATGAGTGTAGACTGTTGGTGCTCACTTTCGAGATATTAGCACAAGTCCTGAATTTTTCGGAATGCAGAGATCATGTTCTGGCCAAACCGGAACCTCCCGCTGAAAGGATTGAGTAAAACAATGGCTGAGTTTTCCAAAATCAGCTGACAGCTGAAATTTCCGCACGTGACTATAATAAATATAAAAATTGTGATATGAATAAGTTAGGTTTCAGATGGATTCTTCTCTTTTACAGCTGGTTTTTCGATGATCAGAGATTTTGTGAACCAAAATAAGGAGCACAGTTCGATTTCCGTTTCCCACTGACTTTCATAAATAGGATGACTTTGATTGTGATGGGCGACTGTCTTTTATTTTATTATAGACCCGAGACTCTGGTAATTTTATTTATGATATTTATTGCTAAAGAACAACTGTCGAATATGAATCTAAAACAGTGTACAAAATGTTTATGAATAGTTTTTAAATTCTTGCTAGACTATTTTAGAAAGACAGACAATTTTAGGGATATTTTATTTAAAAATAAAGAATAAAAACAGGACCATCACAACAATTAGTAAGGGTGTCTTTCTAACGCCTTAAAATGCAATTTAAAATGAGTTCATTGTTAAAAATCGATGTTAAGCCTAGCATGCAGATGTAAAAATGGGACTATTGCTGATTTTCACTTACAGAGATACAAATATTGAATTATATTCTATCCAATTATAAGGCCGGAAAATGCTTTCAATCGCTGCCACTCCACTTGTGATCACCGGTGGTTCGCACCCAAAGGACTCGGTTAACGTGCTCGCCAACCAGATAGTAAACAAATCCGAGAACCATAATCAAGGCGAAGAAGAGGACGCGGAGGTACCAGTCGATGCCCCCCAGAAAGGGATACACCCAGATGCCTGTCCTGAACCAGATGTAGTGAATCCACACCAGGTATCCGGCCATGAAGGCGGCCAGTCCGGCGAATCCCCGACTGCGTTCCGGATATCTGTGGCGAGTGCTGCCCAACTCGGCGAGGGCGTAGACCACGACGAAGGTGTGCGTGGCGTGGTTCAGCCATCTCGGGTAGATTAAGTCCAGCAGATCCGGATAAACCGCATTTCGGTCGATCGCGTACAGTGTCCAAAAGGTCAGACTCACAGTGAGGGCCAGCGGGACGACAAAGGTGGCCAATATGTAGTCGCGCAGGTTCCTCAGAGATCGCACCCGAAAGAGGTCGTAGGTCAGCGCCAGGGCATAGTAACCACACTGCACCAGGCCACCCAGAAAGGTGATGTACTTGAATTTGCCCCACAGCGGTGGCTCCAGGCGCAGGGTCACCGCCAATTTTGGCAACTGCGCGTATCGGTAGTCGTAGTATACGGCGTAGCCCAGGTGACCAGCGGCGGACAGGTGGAGCAGCAGACGAGCCCCGTTCGACCAGCTGCGTAGCTCCATTTCCGCACGGAAACTAATGCCTCCGCCGATCTGTCACGCGGCTATGGTAATTAGGTTTGAAATCAATTCATTGCGGGTAAAGAAGCGGCTACCGAAACGCTTTCGTTGGCAATGGTTATATTCAGTGATGGAAAACATATTATATTTGCTACCTAGCTAGGTTCTGAGTGGAACTGGTTAAACAAAATTGGACTTTATCATAATATCTTAGAAGTAATCCGATTTCAATGAATCAATTTAGGATCGAAAGACATCGGGTTCTTAGTCTGACATGGAAGATACAAGTTTTTTTCCGGTATATATTTTTTAAGTCATTTGTTATCTATCGACATACCAAAATTTTTTTAAATCGAACAATAAATTCTGAAGTTATAAAGAAACAAAATTAAATGTGTTCAAAGCTAGCAGACACATATACTTCACCGCCAGATGGCGCCCCATCTCAATTGTTTCCAGCTTTATAGAATTGCAAATGGCTCCTTTGCAACAACTTAAGCTATAGTACAAGATTTTTAAGAAATTTAATATCTACTAACAAACATTTAAAAACCACACATGTTTTTATTAAATTTTATTAAGAATGCTATGTCTAAAAACCAGCCTTCAACTAATATGTTTTATTCCTCAGAAACTGCACCTAAAATTTGCAATAGTTTGTTTTTGGCTAAACTTAATGTATCAATTTCATTGTTAGTTTAATTATTGACCCAACGGAGAACTAAAAGATTCTTATTGAAAATATTGGTTTTGCAAAGAAAATAACAGGGATGCGACCCTACAAACAGCAGATTCGGGCGGCCAGAGCTACTCCAATTTCAGAACCAGATGTTGCGATGGAAAGGGAAGGTCCACAAACCGCAGGCGATCAAATGGATGTGTGTTCCGTAAATATTTGTTTGTTTTCCTTTGTCGGCGCTGCAGATCTCAGTGATAATTAGCCAGGCTCATCACCACCATATGTCCAAGGTAGACATTTCCCTGAATAGTTATATTACCTTTTGCTTAATTCGATTCGGCCATCTGACGGCCATTGATGATGTTTCCAGTTTAGTAAATATAATGAAATGAAACAAAATATAAATAATTATACCGCCAAAATCTATCTGGATCTTTTGAGCTTACTAGGATTTTATTATATACATTTTGTATTATAATTTGATGTATCCAGCACACTTTTTGATAAAATCTTTGCCTAACATAAGTCGACATACGTTTGATTAGTAAGTCTTTGCCGTACGAATTCGAATCATAATGATAAATGGGCCACTATAACTATTTATAAATTCAATTTTAGCGTCTGTCAAGAGCGATAACAAAGTGGAGTTAAAAACGAAAGGAGTCGCGAAAATCAATGCCATGACGTCTTATGTCTGCGAAATATATGTATCGGTCTAGGTCGATGTATGCCCATGTAATTATGATCTGCACAGCACCGATTAATTGGAGCAATGTTGTTAATTTTTAAAAGCCGCCGTCGGACACGTTTCGCTACGGTCATTGCGACAGAGATATTCAAATAAAGGTAGACGAATCCGGTCGATAATTTCGCACTTGTAATGGGGGAATACAATATTTGACAATCAAACATTTCAATTTCTATGTGGCGCGTGGTTTCAGGTGGGTTCGCACATATTTAAACTGTGGAGGAGTGCAATTACACTTAAAAAAAACCTCTTGAGCTTTTGCAAAGAGTTGAGTTAATTGCGTAAGAGAACGGAGTCTTTGTGAGCCGCTAAATGAGCCAAACAAGCTTCACTCAAGAGAGCTATGGGGTAAATGGGAAATTAGGAACTCTCCTCAAGTAACTAATAAGATGAAGTTAGGGTTTAAGAATACATTTTTTTGGAAAAATGTATTATGTCGGAATTTTCAATAAATATATATTCATAAATATAAAATCAAAGGCAAATCACTCAAAATTATTCTTAAAATAACAGGTTCTTTTTGTTTGTGCCTTGTAATGTTTTTCTTTAACCAAGAGTTTTATGATTAAGTTAATTATTTCCTAAAAATAGGTAAATAACAAAATTACAGTCTTAATCGTAAAAAAAGGTATTTCCTTCAAGCATGTTATTTTTGATTAGAATATATTATATATTGATTAGAATAATTATTATTTTAAACAACGTTGTAAAAGAAGAATTTTAGACTCTATTATGCAATTAGTTATTATCAAATGTGATCCAGGATACTAATTAAAAGCATTACATGCGACACCCCAACAATATGCCACATCAAGTGAAATTTTCAAAACCACCCAAAAACTGCCGCATTATGTATTACCCTTTTTCATTTTGAGCAACAAATTCTAGGACACCATTTTACCCTTTCCACTTTACTGGTTAAGAATTTTCTCTAATGACTTAAACGCGGTAACCACGAAAACATTTTCAGCGCATATGGTCCTGTTGTTCACCTTCTCGACATCGCCGCCAGAGCTAAAGTAAAACCGCGACGCCCCATAACATCGCAACCCAATTTTGCATCCCCCTCGACACTTAAAGGTAAAGAGTCGCATTTTTGCGCAAATTTTACCCGAAAACCGCAAGTAGAAAACTCATTAAGCGCAAAGCGTTTGGCGGCAAAGTAGGCTGGGAAATGGTAGGATTGGTAATGCCATCGGAAGTGGAATCACCTTTGTTCTACCCATTTGTACGAACTCATACTTTCGGAGGTTGAAACTTTAAAGTTGAGGTGGATAGTATGAGAGAATTCTTATGTCAACAATGTATAAGATGTATTCTAGTTTCTTAAAACATTTCATTGGATAAAACATCAGAAAACCATTTGTTTGAAAATATATAAAATAAGCTAAGCACTTTAATCTAAAAACAATCACTACAAAATTAAATGCCATAAAGAAAAAGTAGTTTGTTTCCAAAAAGAAACTATTTTATAACCTTCAAAGTCGTAATTTTAATATGTAGAATAAGTTAATTTTATGTTTGAAATTTACCTGAACTTTTTCATCGCAAGTCTTTTAGGCATCTCCTTTTAACCTGTCCCATTTTTTGGAACTCTGATCACGATTTTTGTTGTGTGTATTTGGCAAATTTGTGTCTTTTATAATATTTGGATTGTGTGAACCTGTGTTTGCTCTTCAGTTGTGTGATGTTGGGTTTTGATTGGGAGTGGGGAATGCTTCCAAGATGATGGGATTTGCGGACTACATAGACACGTGCGTTGCCAAATAAATCCGGCGTAAGCCCCTTTTCCTTGTTTCTTTATTTTTCAAGCGAGCTGGCCCTATCCCTTTTTAAGCTTGCATACTTACTTTTCGGTCTGAAATATTTGAATTTTGTTTTTCTTTTTTTTTTGCCCCCCTTTGCATATGTCACCTAATTTCGCAGTCAGGATACATGCAAATTGTGTGCATACATAAGTTGACGCAAGTAAGTCTTTAATATTCAATAGGCTTTTAGTTTTCTATATGCTAAGATTAAGAGATACAAAAATTTTAAAAACCAAATAATTATTTTACTACAACAATGGGGACATGAAAATAGGCTGATATAATTTTTAATTTTTAGCACGTTTTCTAATATAAAAAAACAGTATTTTTAAACTGAAACTTTAATTTTACTTTACTCGCCTTAGTCATTTCACGACAATCCGATGATGCCAGCGAAATTGGCATCCAGTTTAAATTACCAACTAACTCGGAACTAAAACTCATCGCCGTCCAAGGAGCTTTCCAGTAGCTCTCAAGGACCTGGCCAAGAAGCAGCTGCAGGATGTAGCTTGCAAAGGTCAGTGCAAGGACAAACATCTAGCGAGATGCACAAAAATCCAGCATTCCTATTAAAATCGATATTTAGTACCACACGCAGGGATGCCAAAAACAAAAAGGGAAAAGTGCAAAAGTGCAAAAGTAAGAAAAACTCGACTAAAGGGCAAGTACAAAAGGATGTTTATCATTTTAGCTATTTCTTAGCTTTTTATATCAACTAACCTCCTAACTTGTGACTTACTCCAGTAACTCTAGAAATCTAAATGGTAAGCCAATTTCATGCATATTATTAAAGGAGAGCTTGAGTTAAGAATCTTAAGGCTTATGATTTTATTGAATTATCCTGGAGAATTTAGGAAAAGTTGTTTCTTTTTCCATAAAGACATTCTACAATTTTCGCCAGCTTTTTGGCAACACTGGTCCGAAGTCAGCGAATGGGACGCGGTAAGAGTATTTGCATTAAATTATGCGACGAGCTGCGGAAATGTTTGGCATCAAATGAAGAGGGACTGGGAAAACGGGGGGGCGGGGGCGGGCAGATGGGGGAAAAATCCGAGATGAAGGCAGTGCTGCGCACCGTTAAGTGCGGCGGAAGCAATTTCACTCTTCAGTACAAGGAAAACCGAAAAAGGGAAACACAAGCAAAGCAGCCACGACATCGCAGAAACAAAACAAAAATGTAATAGAAATCCTTCAAACATCTGCGAACCGCTCACTTCACTTTGCTGTAAGAACACCCCCACAAAAAAAAGAAGAAAACCAGCATCCTTTGGTCCTGTATTTAAATACATAGGTAAGCACGTGTGTGTGCTCGCATTTGTAATTGTTTCCTTTTTTGCTTTACGAGTTTTTCATGTCTCGCACAATGTGTCACCACCCATCCCCCAACCCATCCATCTTTTCACTAAAAAAAATACATTTTCCCTTTAAATTCAAAAATTATTATTGCCTTTTGTCTATTAAAGTCAACTGTAACACATTGTGTGGTCTTCAAAAAAGAGGCTCTACGTTTAGATATCTTTCTTTTTGATTATTTTCGAAATATTTATCTTTAGTTAGTTATAGCACTACAATTTGTGGCCTCTTTTAAAGACCCTTATTATTTTTATTTGACTAATAATAACATGAGTTCGTAAGTGAAGAAAACAATTTTTTTTCAGTGTGGTACATCTGGCAAAAGCCGCCCACCACTGCACTTTAATCACCGTCATTAAGGCGGCAGGTTGGGCGCAATTTTCGTATTCATTCCATTTTACCCCACCGTTTTCCAGCTTTCGGT